CATTATAAAATCGTGACAAAGAAAAAGAACGATTATTATTAATCAGCGGAACAGCTGATCTCCAAATCGCTTTGAGTGAGAGCGGTGTTTATACACTCTTTCTAACTGTCTGGAGAAATAAACTACCGATTTGAAATGGAGTGTGAGCCAACACACTTTGCTCTTTCAAAGCGAATTGAAATTCAATTTATACATATGTTTTGAATCGCGGCGAAATGAATTAAAGCGACTTATGCATGCGTATTAACGTAGTAACAGTTCTTGTTAATATAGACATAAATAAATCGATTAAGACACGACAACACAACACAGCACAAGAGAAGAGCGAGAAAGGGAACTGCACGGAGACCAACTAAGCCAAGCCACCTTCTAGCAAGCTTGGTGAGCTGGTATACTGGAATGCTATGCCGCTGTAGAGCAAGTCTTTAGCGCGAATAAAGTCAAGTGAAAAATTGTGGCACATCGAGACAAGTTCTTTCACCAAGTAGCCAGATTTATGTGCTCTTAGAGCTTTACATAGTATGGGATTCACCTACCAGCTAGACTGCCAGCCTGCCAAGCAAGTCAGTACCACCGGGCGAGACTTGAAGACTCGCACCCGTCTAACGACACGCGACATGCCGCAGCGGTACCCCAGATATTCACACTTACATACACACAATCGCCTTAACACATACACTCAGACTGATGTGCATAATGTTGCACAAATAAATAACCAAAAGTTTCACCAAGGCGATGAGTTGCAAGCTGTTGAACTGTGGAAGCATCGAATTAATTGAAATTTCCATTAAAAACAGTGGAAATGTTGAATCGTAGAATGTGCAATAAAGAGGGAGTGTGGCTGGCATCTATTTACTTAGGTACTTTATATGTTCACATATGTATGTATGTACATATAGATATATTTAGTTGTTATACCTTATGTAAATATGTATGTACATATACAATACGTGTAGCAGATGCCAGAATCGTGACTAGAAATATGGTCGAAAAACTACATTTTTATTAAAGCTGCAACATGAACGCGCCACAGCGGCAACATCAGCCACATACATGCAGCTATATTTATGTGTATGTGCATATAAATTCACCATAAAAACTGCAATTACTGGATCATTTTCGAATTGATTTGGTGTGCCATTCACTAACTAAACAACTCCACACACACGCGCGCGCGCATACAAACACATTTGTGGATATGTGCCACACGTTGTTGCATGCGCCCGGGAATCGGCGCATGCGCAGAACGGTCAAAGCAACGGTTCCTATTGGAATCGCTGTAAGAAATCTACAAAGTGGGCAAAAAAAAAAAAAAAGAAGAGTGGGAACAACACAAGAAAAATAGGCTAGGCGCATTTGAGCCGGTCCCCCAGCAGCAGTCAACAATCGCCGCCTGGATGGGTGAGTTTTCTGATATCGCAGCAATTGGTGGTGGTGAACGCACAAATTCATGAAAATGTCTAACAACAACAACAAACTGTTTAATAGCAAGTACATAGTTACCTGTTTCTGTACATATTCTTTCAACTGGATTGCTTTAAAATGTATGCTTCTTTGTCTTATATTTCGCTGCAAATCAACCAGTGATATAGAAAGTCGAGAAATTGCAAATATATGTGTATCCATCATGTTCCAAATTTCTAACTTAATTTTATTTTCATTAAAATGCATAAACGGTTTTTATCCGTAAAAATTATTTAAATCCCAAACAAAAATATCCTCTCGGAGCAGTAACAGGCGACTTAAGAGAAGCCAGCGTTTAAGTTATGTAGTTACAGTTCCTCGGCTATACTCAATCCCGACTCTTGCGACCTCGTTCGTGGTGGTACCCAATCCGAGTGGAGAATTGGGTCACGGCAGAAAAAGAGGTAGCTTCCATGCGGTCACTCCGACTTATTCGGTTTAAGGGCTCACTGAAGTCTGCAGTGTTCGTTCACCAGTAAGCGCGGCTACAAGCGGGCGTCAGTGTTCGAGTAAACGGTTCGCTTTATAAACGTGCATTCGGTTGAGATTTCACCATCTGGTAATAAAAAATAATACCTAAACTTTGGATGGGACCCCTCTTTTGATGACGACCACCGCAAACGTTTAAACGATTACGATTTGAGAGCATGCGCCTGGAATATCTGGACCCTGGCTGGTTGATGTCCGCGTAAGGATAAAAGCTCGCATCACCGCCACCCAAGAAATGCGACGTCTACTACGGCTGCCATGTAAAGGAGTGCGAATTCGGTGTTGGATATGTAGTGGGAGAGTGTACTGTCGTTAACCCCATTAGACGGGCGTCTAGAAACAATCCGCATCAAAGTAAGATTCTTCGACATCTCGCTAATGTGCGCCCAAGCCCCGATGGATGGGAAGGACAAAGCATTCAAACAACTCTTTTAAGAGCGCTTAAAGAAGACATATGAGCACTGCTTCCGTCACGAGGAAGAGATGTTTTGGACCGCAGTCGGAAAATTCACCCTCAACGAAAACAAACGTCTGATAACGGACTACGTTACGGCTAATCGACTTGTCTGGGGCCCGTAGCATGGTAGTATAGAATGTTAGGTTCAAGCCGAAATAGATTCACACAGCTGATTGGCATCTGCCAAAGATAGGGGACTTACGAAAGGTTTTAAGACCATGGCGAGCTAAGTTAAGGACAACCATGGCGACCCAGTCACCGATGTCGAGAATGTACTGAAATTATTGAGGGAACACTTTTCCACCCTACTGAATGGTAGCAGCACTAAAAGTTGTGGAGAAGACGAGCCCCCAGTTGATGAAGACTTAATCGATGTTCCACTGAACGCATTCTCGACGACTGGAATTTAAGTGTGGTCTGCCCACTTCATAAGAAATGTGACCCCACCATTCGCGCCAACTACCACGGGATCAGTCTTCTAAGCATAGGTTGTATGAAAGGCTGAAACCCACCGTAAACGAACTGATTGGGCCTTATCTGTTTGGCTTTAGACCTGGCAATTCTACCATTGACCTGGTATTCACAATACTCCACATCTTACTAAAGATTCGCTAGAAAGGATCGAGCCACACCATATATTTGTTGACTGCATAGCCGCGTTCCACAGCTCGAAAAGAGTGGCCTATACGCCGCCATGTCTGGATTTGGTATTCCTACGAAAATAATTCGGCTGTGTAAAATGATATTGAGAAATACCACCAGCTCCGTCAGAATTTATAAGTATCACCCAGAGCCGTTTGATACCAAATGTAGTTTCAGACAGGGCAACTTCCTTTCGTATGATTTCTTTAATCTGATGGTTTAGAAGATAATAAGATCCGCAGAACTTAACCGCTCAGGTAAAAGTTTTTAAAGAGCGTACATGGCGATCCTGCCAAATTGGCACAACATAACCAGAGAAAAACTACATATAATGCAATAATACATAACCGCAGATGGCGAAAGTACAATAAATGAATTTATCGAAAATAGGAACAGAATAATTCCACAAAAGAGTCACTTAAACACTCCAATCGAAGCATTACCAGTACAAGTAGGCGTCGAAGGCATGGATAGATATGCAAAAGCATAATATTCATAAAATATATTATTTTTATATTGAATACCCTTGGCATATTGAATGGTTACTAGATTGGGCAACGCATATTTGGACTGACCTCTTGGTTTTCTCGCTTAATATATTATTTCCTTTCCCCAATATATGCCTAAGTTTGAATCGATTTTATTTCGTCGGAGAGAACAAACGAAAACTAATTGCGGAACTGATAGAATTAAAGAAAAATAAACATAACAACTGAGGCATGGTTTGGGCAATTGTACTTCCAAAAGCCAATGAACAGC